GGAATTGATAAGAAGTTGTTTGAAAAAAGAAAGAAGAGGATTTAAAAAAAAAAAGAAAAAAAAGGGAGAGAATGTGATCAGGCAGGGGAGTAGAAAAAACCATATACTAGAGATTTAGGGTATATTTTAATCTGTTAGAAGAAACTATCTCAAAATTTTAAAGAGAGAACAACTTATATATATATATGCCAAAAATACGGGTAACTACTATGAAGGGGTAGAATATGACTCTAAAAATGAAAAATAAAAATGTTTTTTTTTAAAAAAAGGGATTGATAAGATGTTGGTTGAAAAAGGGAAAAAGGAAAATTCAAAAAAAAAAAAGAAAAAAAAAGAAAAAAACCAGTTAAAAAAAAATTAACTTTGAAAGACTAAAGAATCATGGTAAAAAAGCCATGAATTCTATGTGCAGTATTCCCCTAGCGCTGGAGTTCTGCCGTTCTCATTGATCGGTAAACTTGGTCTTGGCTGGCTGTTCTCGCTGATCTTTTGCGGAGGGGCCTGTTGCCTTGGTTCCCAAATGTCTTTGCCAGAGGCGGAATTGCCCCACCCTTGCCCAGTCCGGGCTAAGTAATCTGCTTGGGTTTGTTCTTGGGGGCTTTTGTTCCCTGCAAGCTTTCTGTACAGCTTTGGAAGTGGAGAGTGAAAATGGCGGCCTCCCAATCTCCGCCCCGGAGGAGCTGAGAACTCGGGGCCCCACTCCTCAGTGAGCCCCCAGAGAAAAGCTGTCAGTCACTCCCGTCTCCCTGGTCTCCGGCCGCACTCCATGCTCACCCGGCCTGTGACCGCGCATTTCTATCTCTGGCACCCAACCCCAGGTGGAGTCTCCAAACCCAGCAGATCCCTGCGGTGCACTCCCACACGGCTCCTCCCGGGGGAGGAAGGTGAGTCTCCCCGGATCTGCTGCTCGTTGGGTCCCTCCTGGAGGAGCAGTGGCCCGACTGTGCCGCGGATCATGGTTTATGGCCACCCCGAGCTGAGAGCCCGCGCCTGGGCTCCGCCTCTGCAGTCAGCTTCCCTGCTCCGTTACCTGGGAGCTCTGCCACACTCAGGCACGCCCGGTCTTTCTGTGTCCCCGAGGGTCCTGAGACCACACTGTCCCGGAGGGTTCCACCCCCCGCTTAGCCACCTGAGTGACCTCCGTCAGCGGAGCTGACTTTTAAAAGTTCTGATTTTGTGCTCTGCGGCTCTATCACTTGCCAGAAGTGGCCGACGGAGGCCCCGCCTCCGCTGTCTATCCTCCCGAATATCGCCTCGGATTCACTTCTCCGCATGTCCTACCTTCCAGAAAGTGGTCGCTTTTCTGATGAGAGAGTTGTTGCTATTCTTTTCTTCAATCTCCTGTTGAGTTTGTAGGTGTTCAGAATGGTTTGATCCCTATCCAGCTGAATTCCTGAGAGGAGACAAAATCCAGGTCTCCTACTCCTCCGCCATCTTGCTCCGCCCCCTAAAGATCCTCCATTCTTATGTCATCAAGGAAAATTCTTTTGTGAAACAACAAATGTTGGTTGAATTAAAAAAAAACTCCAGGATTCAAATTCTAAATTTTATTCATAAGAAATAATCATCATTATTACCATGAAACTAAAGGTTTTTAATGATGCAGATGTTCCAAGAGATCATACCCTGACATGTTATGTGTTTTCTTGAAAAAAAAGACATGAATAACAAGAATTCCATCTCACCTGATTGATTCGCTAATACAGATTGAGAATCACATTTTAAAAGAGTGACAATTATGAGGAATAGCCATTTGTAGGGTCAGGAGGCCCCTGTCCTAGGGAAGTGGAACAGCTGGGCTAACACCCAAGCCCTGTGAAAATCCTAACAGGATTGGGCAGCCATGATGCTATGTCAGGCAAAGGCTCAGGACTGGAGGCCCCACTTCACCTGGCACTTTGAATAACACAGGCACCGAGCGTTCACAGAGCAAGGTTCAGAATTCCCCTCAAATCCACAGCATCTTCTGGTGAAGGTACAGGCTATTCAACATCCCAGCAGACATCACATAAGCTCCTACCATTTGGCAGACACCTGGTTCTGCAGAAATGTAGGGTGCCTGGAGTAGGGGTGTTAAACATACAGCAGAAAAGAGACAGGAGGAGAAAGGGCTACAGGAGGAGCAACTTGGTGGAGAGTCAAGGACATTAGGTAGGCAGACGCAGAAAGCCAGCTGGATAAGAGGCTCTTCTGAGGCAGACACAGGAGAAAACAGCCCACAGTCTAGCTGAACTCCCTTATTGAACTGTCCTTATCGAAACTAGGTACTATCTTCTTTTTCTTTCAGCACACGTGGAAACTGAGGTGCTCCTAGGACGGAGGAACGTGAACGTGAGGAAACCAAGATCTATCCATGAAGAGAATCAAATGTGCATTCCTTTAACTGTGCAGGTGAGATTGCAACCGCACCATACACCTACAGTCTACCAACCCGCGTGCAGTTAGTCCCTCAAATTCCTCACCGGAATATCCTGCCCTCTACTGTTGGCTGGGAGAAAGGCATTCTATTATTGAAGAGGAAAGGAGCAGAGGGGAGAGGAGTTCACACCTGCCCCATAACCTTATTTAACCCTTGGTGGTTACGGGGTTTGTATAGAATATCATTTTAAAAAGGCTTAACTGTACCTGCCTCTTTTCCTTGTGGGCAGCTGGCCTGGAAACTGCTGCAGGGCTTCAAGGAGGTTCTGGAAAACGTATTTTCTCTAGCTCATCAACATCTTGGACTGCTTTGGCTTTTTTTAAACATGTGAAAGAAGTGTTATAAATAAACATAATCTTAATCTATGATGTAGAATGTGTTTAAAATATAGAGACATTTAGCGGTGCCTGAGTGGCTCAGCTGGTTGAGCATCTGACTCTTGATTTCAGCTCAAGTCATGATCTCAGGGTCGTGGGATCAAGCCCTGTGTCAGGCTCTGCGCTGAGCTTGGACCCTGCTTAAGATTCTCTCTTTCCCTTTCCCCCTCCCACCACTGTCTGCGTGATCTAAATAAATGAAAAAATAAATTAATTAAATAAATAAATAAAATATAGAGACGTTCAAAGAATAAAATAACCAATATCTTTTATTCGCCAGCCAAATATAGTCTCTGATTAAGTTTTGCTGTATTTTATGCCAGATTTTAAAAAATTTATACATATCTTCATACATTTTTAACAAAGATGTTATGTGTCACATGCCATATTTTACATGATCTTGAAAATGTCTGAACATTTTTCCATATGACTAAATATTATTTTATGAACATATTATATTTCATGACAGATATAAAATGATTTGTTCAATCAACTTTCTCTTTGGGAGAATTTATGTTATTTCCCTCCTAAATTTTTTCACTATTATATATAATGTTGAAGTGATGATACTCTTATAAATAAATCATTGTGTGTCTGAATGCGTATTTCCCAGTGGAATTCAGAAGGCATGCAGGTGTGTAAGGATTTTTAAGATCATTTCTTGACTTTACACCCCTAACAGCTGTGTGTCACCAACCAGTGTCCCCAGTCACGACCTGCCCCTGTAATGGTGACTGCTCCTAGAGTAATTGCTGACATTACCCATCATGCCAACAAGCAGCAATTTGAAATCCCCTGGACATGCACAAACCTTGCATACCCAGGTGACATCATTCTCTCCTCCCAGTCTGATGATTACTCATCAACTTGCAAAGTTTGCTGGATAATTTTTGTCTTATAGTCTCCAAATTTCTCTGGAGTTCTTTCCAGACATATCTGGAATGCTTGTGCATCATACAGGTATGAGGCAGATGATGGGCAACACACCTGTCACCTGATACCTGTTGCCTTCCTCACATCTGCTTGATGTTATTTTATAAGTAGGTTCATTCCCCAGTGACCACTGCAGCCCCACTGGAAATTCTGTTGATCTCTCAGCCTCTAGACTTTTTGCTGGTCACCAGCAAAGTCAAGAAGACGTGGCTATAGGGAGAGAGCCGATGGTGGGAATCTGAAGAGCTGAACCCTGGTTGTGACTCAGAAATATGATTTCTGGGTGGTCTTGATGAATTATCTTTCCCTTTCTGGGGAAGGATATCAGTTTCATCTTGAAGCTGAATGGGCTTGCTAGGTGTTTTCAAGTGTCCTTTCACCCTAACATTTTACCTGGTGATGACCCGCTTTCCCTTAATTTCAGGCTGACTGTCTTATTTGCATTAAACAGTTTTCCTTCTGAAACCTACCTAAACTTTCCTTTTTCTTCTTTGATGAATTTACTTTTATGGTCTCTTTGGAGAGGTACCCTGTATATGTGGGGAGGGGGGCTGAGGGGAAGGGGGGGCACAAGTGAGCAGGGGGAGGTGTGTGTGTGCTTTGGTATCAGTGCATATTTGCATAAATGTCTATTGATATGGAAAGGGGTGAGGATCACCCCCTTAGGCTTCTCCTAGGCAGGCACTGTGGATTCTACTTTCCTTTGTCCTGCCATAGCACAGGGGTCTCAGTGAAAGATAAAGACAGACTAGGGTGATCAAATCAGCATGTATGTGTGTGTGTCATGTGATTTGGGGTGTCAGTGTGTGCAGAAGTCTGTGTATGTGTGTCTGTGAGTATGAGTGATTCAGGGTTTGGCTCCATGTGTTGGGGCATCAGCAAAGGAGGATGCATGAATAATCATGTTGGAATTTTTATGAGCACTATTTCTTTGGAATAAAAAAATAATAATAAAGAAATAAACCAAACAGAAAAAGGGCAACTTGGGGGCCAGGATTGAGTCAGAGATGGCTTGAAACATGTACCATCTACACTCATAGAACTCACTCAGGTGCAAAAGAAGCTCTGCTCTAGCTAAGGCTGCCCAAAGTAATGGGCTCTGGGTAGCCTTGACCCATTGCCAGCCCACGAACACACACACACACACACACACACACACACACACACACATGCTCTCAGTGCCTATGCCAGGCCCTTTGCTGCTTCATGATGAGAGAACAACGAGAAAGTTGAGTCAGCCAATGACAAGCACAGCCAGCTGTGGAGTTAAAAGTGGTTTAATGGGGAGAAGGCAGGAAAGATCCACTTGATCCCCAGGCCCCTCTTTAGATGAGCCCTGAGCACTTAAAAGAGTAGCTCAGCCAGTGAGACTCTCAGCATCATTCAGAGGCTCAGAGCCCTCTAGAGCAATGGGAGGGAAATCTTGTAGAGGGTGCAAAGAGGGAAGGTATGACTCAGGGTGACAGCATGCTAATTGTAAGTAAGACACAGAAGCAGAATGGGAGAGGGGATTCAGCATCCGGTGGTTGGCTCCCCAAGGGCTTGCTTGGCTATGGACCCCATTACTTCTGCTTGGTCTTCTGCTGAGCTGGCGCTGGAGTGACCGTTGGGAGACATGGCTCAGGAACCTTGGGGTGGCAGGGCTCTGGAGCCTTGGGGTGGCAGGGCTCTGGAGCCTTGGGGTGGCAGGGCTCTGGAGCCTTGGGGTGGCATGGCTCCTTGGTTTTGAGGGCACATTGTTCCTGGGGTGGAGGCTGGCAGGGCTGTTTCACCTGCTGCTGCTGAAGCTGGGGGGGAGTGGTGCAGGGCTGCTTCTGCTGGTGGGAACTCATGCTTCACAGGAGGCTGGACCTACAGAAAGAACAGATGATTAAACAGGGATTATCTAGGATAGAAGCCATATTCAATGCCAAATGTTTCTTTATAGGCCCTGTTAGAGGAAACAGCCCCTCATCTCCTCTGGCTGACCACCCCCCACAAACTTGAAAGTAAAATATGCTTTGATAATTTCTGGGCCCTTTCAAGAGGAGGAGTTAAAGTCAATTTGTTCTGCTCCATTTCAGTGGGGTTCATTCTCCAGCAAACCTTTCTTCCCCAGACATGTCATATCCCTCATTGACAAGTACCCAGGGCCACACTGAAGTCTTTCGGAAAGTGACATTATAGAAACAACTGCAGTCTGCCCACCCGTAGGACCATGCAGCACGCCTGTGACTTACAAAATGCCTCTCTGAGTCTCAGCTCCTGTGACCTTACTCTGCCTTTGCTAATACAGTGTGCTCTGAAATGCTCTCCTTCCCATTTCTGCTTGTCCAAATATGCCTCCACTGTAGCTCACATCTTGCGCTATCACCAGGAGATACTGAGCATGGCTCCCCCAAACAGCCCTTCCCTGTCCCTCTGTTCCCATGCCAATCATAATCTGCTTTGCATTTTCTCTATGTATGAGCATGCATTATCTTTCCTGCTAGGCTGTGAGCTTGCTGAATGAGTTCCATAACGGTCTGATTTACCCAAAGTACCTAGCATGGTGCCTGAAATACAACAAATGCATAGTAGAGGTCCACCTCATGAATTAACATTTTTATAAGTGTCATAAACAGAGAAAATAGTAGTGTTGTTGAAAGTGCCTGGGCCTGAGAGTCCTAGTCACAATCGTGCTACTAACTTACTGTCAGCACTTGCACAAACCTGCCCCCTGCCTACCCCCAGTCTCACGGCTGTTCACCAAAGCGGCAGACTTACCTGTCCCTAATTCCCTTCACACCCAAACTGTGCTTTAATCTAAAATGACCAGTATTCTCTCTCTAATTAATATCCTTATCAGCCCTCTTACACATGTTTGCCTTTGTCCAGTTTCCACTAATAAAAAAAGTAAACATGAATTTCAAATTGGTTCCAATCAGAGACTTACCTGGTACACAGAGAATGGAGTGTCTGGTTGCTCTGGTCTGATGTGAAGTCAGCAGCCAGCTGGCTTTTTATAGGATGAATGAGCCCTGCCTCAAGGAAACAGAATCACCTCAGGCCCCCTCTGTTTTCATTCCTTACCTGTCAAACATGATTCACCCTACTCCCCTCAATTACCAGTTGGATCAGCTTTTGTGATGAAAACCACCCACTTGATATTTTTTGGCACTGGCTGTGTGACAATGATGTCACCGATGCCTAATTCCCAGTGCCACCCTCCCCCTTAGACCCAGGCATAGGGCTTGTGTTGGGGGAGGGGTGAGCCACAGGCTTCCGGGAGGGTTTAAGGAGTTAACCTAAGGGGAAGATCTGAGTCCTTTGTGTGGCCTTGCTACCTTCTTGCTCTCTCTTCTCTTGAGGGGATTGTTCCTCCTGTTTTGTGGGTTAGAATACATTTGGGCACATGAACAAGTGGGAGAGGTGTCAGAGGACCTGAGGCGGGCACCTGTTGCCTGCCTTATAAAGGTAGATGCTAGAGGTCGTCGATTGACTGATTACAGACTCCTTGTCTGGGGATCAAATCCATTTCCTCCATCTTTCTCCTAACTCCACTGAACTATACACATTCAGATTACTTAATTATCCCCCCAACCCCACCCCTCCCTGACTGGTTGCTAATCTGGGTAAACCTGCTTTGCCTTCACCAACCACACCTTCGCCCCTCTCCTACTTCAGAAATTTTCAAGGGCTAATTCCTCTTCTGGGATAACCTTTTCCCTCCGCTCCACCCATCCTTCTGGCCCTGGCCCTTCCTTCCTAACCCAGCTGTATACCACCCACACACCACCCGAAACCTGGAAGCCTTTTCTAACTATTTCAGCCCCTAGCCCAAGCCCATCCACGAAGCCCTGGGATGAGCTCACCCCCAACCCTTTCTTGCCCACTTCCAGTCCCAGCCCTGACAACTGGAGGTCTTGTTGGCTGCAGTGTTTTCCTCCTCTCTTGTCTCTGTATCTCCTGGGGGCTCTCTCAGCATCAGAGCTGTGCCTGCTCAAAACAGCACTCCCATGGTGATATTTGTTTCCATATTCATTCAACAAATATTAACAGATACCCTAGTATATGCCAGGCATGTTTCATTTGGGGAGCTATCCAAGTGTGAAGGCCACTTCCCTCAGCAGACTGGGAACTACCTAGCATCAGAGACATATCCTACTTTAGAGTCACTAGTTTAATGACTCTCAGAGAGCCTCATTCCAGCCTTCAAGTGATGGCTGAGGGATTTGAGGCTATAAGAGGTGAAATAACTCCCTCAAGGTCAAACAACAATCCCCATGAAAAAAAATGAAGTCTACAGCGAAAGCCTATGTTCTTTTTTTAAACCCTGCCTAGTCCTAATGCCTACAGAGGAAATCAAGCCAAGGCAGGAAAATAATGACAGGTGGAAAGGGGAACTCAGACTTCCTGGCTTGCAGCTGTGTCCACTCAGTTCTGGGAGAGCTTTGTGCGATGGGCAAAGTAAGAAGAAAAAAAGAGCCTTCCCTTTTGGGTAAAACCTCAATCTTTGTTAAGATGAATCCTCTTAGGTAGGAATAAAGCTGCTTAATGTTTGAAGTGGCCCTATTATTAACAGTAGGTATTTCTAGCTCTGCTGAAAATAGGAGGGGCATGAATTAGCATAGGTGGAAATAAGGGACTCATTCAGCATATCATCCCTCAGTGAACCAGGGTCTGAGAGAGGAAGGGAAAGGCTAAAATGCCTGTTTTGAGCCAGAGTTGCTTTCACTTTGGAGGAGGCCCCAGGATGGCACAGTGACAGATTCTGGGTACCTTGACTAGTAATGACACTGAGGTTGGCAGGAGATGAGCAGCCTCTGAGCTCCTGCCCAGGTATGTCTTCCCTCCTTGATGGTCAGATCCTCAAGATTCTCCTTGCCACAGGCTTTTCTTTCCTGGGAACATAAGAACAGGGATCCCCTGAGTCTTTACACCAGTAACTTCCTGTGATCAACATAACATGAAACTGAATTCACTGGTTCAGCACTGTCCTCAAAACACATCTGTTACGAGGTGTGGCCTTTGGAAAATCCAAATCATGTTTAGAACCCAGGTGTATGGATAGCTCCTCCTCCTCATTCCCCTCCCCTGCCCCCAAACATACACCTAAATGTTTGTGGAGCATCTGCTGACTTCAGCTGGGTCACCTCTTGTGAACTTGACGTCCTGGATCAGCCTCAGTCTTTATGGCCATTAGTGCATCTTCATCCTCACACGGTGCCTGGTGGGTAGTAGTTGCTCAGCAAGCTGGCAATTAATTATAGAATGATTGACTGACTGAATGGTTGATGGATGAATGAAAGAATGAATGAATGGCATTATTTGTAAAGAGAGGCCCAGAGTTCCCCATCTTTGGGGTTCAGCTGGGAAGAAGAGGAAGGGCTCAGCAAAAGGACAGATGGCACTGCCTTCCCCACGCATCTGTTCACTGTCAGTCTATCTAGTGACCATCTCCCTCTGGGCTGGTACCAGTGCCATGACCATGGTTGAGCTCCAAGCTTCTTATCTCACTCTGCCTCTCTTCCAAGCTTGGGCTAGGTCCCTCTCTTTGCCTGAACCTGCTCTCAGGAGCCCCTAACAGAAGGAGCTCCAGGCAGAACCTGCTGCTCTACCTGGTGGGATTCTTAGCTGGAGGATCTTAGCTGCTTCTCTGTCCTGTATGGTCACCCAGCTTGTCTCAGGCTCTGGAGGATCTGAACCCAGCTCTGCAGCTGGGGTACCCTGTGCCCTCCCCGGGCCTTGGCCCTAGATGCAAAGGAATTTCCCTGTCACCTGATACCCTGCCCTGGGCTGGAATCTCCTGCCTTCCTCAACCTGTGCTCCCTTGGCTCCACCCAGTGCTGCTCTGGCTCTGGCCTCTGGAACTTGCCATGACTTCCAACATTATTCTCCCTGTTTGTTCATCTGAGGCTCACTCAGTGGTTGGTTCTCCCTTTTCAGAGAAGCTCCTTTTCACTATCAGTGTGGGTTAGTGGGTGAATCTGGCCCCACAAATGTCCTACATAAAGAAAGGGGGTGGGGCGCCTGGGTGGCTCAGTTGGTTAAGCGACTGCCTTCGGCTCGGGTCATGATCCTGGAGTCCAGGGATCGAGTCCCGCATCAGGCTCCCTGCTCAGCAGGGGGTCTGCTTCTCCTTCTGACCCTCCCCTCTCTCATGTGCTCTCTCTCTCTCATTCTCTCTCTCTCAAATAAATAAATCTTGAAAAAAAAAAAGAAAAAAAAGAAAGGGGGTAATGGGGTTGCTTACAATGGGAAGTACATCTCCCATGATTTCATAGGAGCCCCTCCTTAGCACACAGGGGTTGCTGCTATTCACATGTTAAAATCTGGCTCCCTTCTGGACTAGCTGCAAGACGGTCCTTTAGTTCAGTGTGTGCCTCTCGCTCACCATGCATTTGCAGAGTGGGGAAGGTTGCAGCCCTGAGCTCTTCAGTGATCAGGCCCTTCCCTGCTTACATCACTCCCTCCTGTGCTTCCCCAAGACACAGAGAATGCAGAGAATGTCATGCAGAATTCGAATTCTAGTCATTTTATCATGAGGGCCATGTTTAAAACATGCTAACACCTTGAAGCAAGCAATAGTAAGAGACCCTCCCCCAGTCACCTTGAGGAGCTAGGGACCCAAGAGTGGTGGCTCATTTCGGGCTATGATGATTTTAAAGAAGTCTCCATAGCATATGGGTCCCTCCATCTGAAAAAAGAGGAGGAAATGGGGGGAAGAGATGCCAGATACCAGGCATTTTGAAGCCTCTTGAATCCTTGAGTACTACAGGCAGGAGATGTGAAGTTTGCAGAGATGGATGCCAAGGTGGAGAGGGACAGTAGTCCTAGCACTGGAGAGCCTCTACCCTTGGGTCCTGGTCCC